AGAATTAGGCTCCGTTTGATTCTCATTTTTATCAAAATATATTTTTCTCTCTTCTTTTTAACCATATATTCTTCATTAAAATAATATTACACTAAATCAAAAATATTTTCTTATTTTTCATCCACACATTCTCCATCAATCTACTATTCTAAAATTCATTTTTCAATAAAAATGAGTGTCAAACATTCTCTTAATGTTTACTAAACAGGGTCGATGCACACCATGTACCAAAAACCATACAAGATGCCTGAACAGAAGACCCTTTGCTAGGACTGTCACCTTCAACGTCCCCAAAAGAATTACAAACATTACTGACACCGAGGTACCTACGCTCAATGGATCCAATCCTAGCAATTGATCATAGTGCAACTGCTGAAATTGTAGTAAAGCGGAATCACCAACGCTCCATCGAGCAATGTTTTGAATCGACCAGAGCCCATCACAAAAGGTACTCTACCAAACTAAATATCCACCATGATATTGAACTTGTCCAGATATCTCTTAACTGGTTCTGCGCTTTCCTTCAACATGTGCAACTGAGACTTTCTCTGTCCCTTTAGTACAATCTGGACACCCTTTCGGATCTTTAAAACTCCACCTCCACTAGAGAATTTATCCACTTTTGCATAAGAGTACTAAGCTAGATGATATTTTTTTTTATATCTGGAACATGTCGAACCCAATCAATTGTTCTGATTGTCCCATCCCGCAGCTTAAATTTGATTCAACCGATCCCAGTAATACGACAAGATTGGTTGTTTCCCATTACAACTCCATCTTGTTGAACAGCCTTATATATCTTAAAGAAATCCGGATTGGAACTTATATGATGGGAACATGCCGAATCGAGAATCCACTCCTCGTCAGGCCTAGATTCTACGTCAAATACCGCGGTTAACATTATATCTTCATAGTCTGAAAAAAATCCTCAACTACATTTGTCTCGTCTGAAGTCAAAGGTTTTGCTCCACAATTTACAGCTAAATCACTTTTAGCCTGCAACTTATTGCAATCCTTCAAAATACGTCCCTTGTGTCTACAGTAGAAGCAAAACAAATTGCTATTATTCTTCGATTTGCCCCTTCGTCGGCCACCGTGAGGTACAAGAGCTTCCTCATCCCTCGATGTAACTCCAACCAAATGTTTCAACTTCTCTTTTGAGTGCAAAATATCATAGACGTTGTCTATAATCAATGTATCCCGACTATACAAAATGATGTCCTCCAACAACGCATAAAAGCCAGACAACGAACATAACAAGATCAAGGCCAAATCCTTTTCATCGTACTTAACTTCCAATGTCTCCAAATCTACAACTATTTTCTTGAACACAGCAATATAGTCCTCCAATAACCCTTCTTTCACCATACGATGGGAATACAGTTTCTGCTTTAGAGCCAGTTTGCTTGTAAGACTTTTAGTCATGCATAACTGCTTTAGTTTCAACCACAAAGCAGCCATTGTTTTCTCCTTCAAGACATCCTATAGAATATTGTTGGATAAATAAAAATGGATCTGTGATAAAGCCTTCCGATCCTTTCGTTGTTTCTCTTCCATTGTCCAATCAGTTTGCGTCTTCTCTAGACTCAGTAACGCATCGTTAAAATCCAATTGTATGCATAACAATAATGAATAATAGACCCCACAAGTTTCCTACAACACAAGCAATATAAACAGCAGTGCTTCATAATTTTTGAAGTTATTAATGTCTATTTCCAAAATTTCCAAAAAAATCACTAAATCCTGATACTTTCAAGAGAAAATCATCCCTAGCCCATTATAAATTCATATGCCACATAATTTACATCCCTCATCTTTACTTGCTACAAAAAAAACCTTGTATTGTGATCTAGCAGTGAAATTTCATACTTCATGATAGTCGTCTCTGAAAAACATCAACCAATTCACGAAAGAAGAACTAAGCTCTGATACCACTTGTTGGACCTGGAGGGATTGTAATGAAAGAGATTAATGACACAATATGTAGTAATAAAGATCACAATAAGAAACAAGATTAAAAGTAAAACGAATAAAGAGAGTTAATCGCAAAAAAACAATGTATATTAACTGATAATATGGAGAGAAATTACAGACGCAGCAATAATGTTTAAATAAAATTGACAGAGGAATCTTGTATTTATAGGTCACATTTCAAACTTTAGAAGAGTCCTAAAAAGTAAGAAAACCTGTTAAAATTAGATTACAATTGCGCATAAAACTTCTACTGAGAGAGAATTTTCTTTCCTTATTCAACTTGGATACAATTTTCCTTTCCGGCTCCGTTTGATTCTCATTTTTATCAAAATATATTTTTCTCTCTTCTTTTTAACCATATATTCTTCATTAAAATAATATTACACTAAATCAAAAATATTTTCTTATTTTTCATCCACACATTCTCCATCAATCTACTATTCTAAAATTCATTTTTCAATAAAAATGAGTGTCAAACATTCTCTTAATGTTTACTAAACAGGGTCGATGCACACCATGTACCAAAAACCATACAAGATGCCTGAACAGAAGACCCTTTGCTAGAACTGTCACCTTCAACGTCCCCAAAAGAATTACAAACATTACTGACACCGAGGTACCTACGCTCAATGGATCCAATCCTAGCAATTGATCATAGTGCAACTGCTGAAATTGTAGTAAAGCGGAATCACCAACGCTCCATCGCGCAATGTTTTGAATCGACCAGAGCCCATCACAAAAGGTACTCTACCAAACTAAATATCCACCATGATATTGAACTTGTCCAGATATCTCTTAACTGGTTCTGCGCTTTCCTTCAACATGTGCAATTGAGACTTTCTCTGTCCCTTTAGTACAATCTGGACACCCTTTCGAATCTTTAAAACTCCACCTCCACTAGAGAATGTATCCACTTTTGCATCAGAGTACTAAGCTAGATGATTTTTTTTTTTTATATCTGGAACATGTCGAACCCAATCAATTGTTCTGATTGTCCCATCCCGCAACGTAAATTTGATTCAACCGATCCCAGTAATACGACAAGATTGGTTGTTTCCCATTACAACTCCATCTTGTTGAACAGCCTTATATATCTTAAAGAAATCCGGATTGGAACTTATATGATGCGAACATGCCGAATCGAGAATCCACTCCTCGTCAGGCCTAGATTCTACGTCAAATACCGCGGTTAACATTATATCTTCATAGTCTGAAAAAAATCCTCAACTACATTTGTCTCGTCTGAAGTCAAAGGTTTTGCTCCACGATTTACAGCTAAATCACTTTTAGCCTGCAACTTATCGCAATCCTTCAAAATACGTCCCTTGCGTCTACAGTAGAAGCAAAACAAATTGCTATTATTCTTCGATTTGCCCCTTCGTCGGCCACCGTGAGGTACAAGAGCTTCCTCATCCCTCGATGTAACTCCAACCAAATGTTTCAACTTCTCTTTTGAGTGCAAAATATCATAGACGTTGTCTATAATCAATGTATCCCGACTATACAAAATGATGTCCTCCAACAACGCATAAAAGCCAGACAACGAACATAACAAGATCAAGGCCAAATCCTTTTCATCGTACTTAACTTCCAATGTCTCCAAATCTACAACTATTTTCTTGAACACAGCAATATAGTCCTCCAATAACCCTTCTTTCACCATACGATGGGAATACAGTTTCTGCTTTAGAGCCAGTTTGCTTGTAAGACTTTTAGTCATGCATAACTGCTTTAGTTTCAACCACAAAGCAGCCATTGTTTTCTCCTTCAAGACATCCTATAGAATATTATTGGATAAATAAAAATGGATCTGTGATAAAGCCTTCCGATCCTTTCGTTGTTTCTCTTCCATTGTCCAATCAGTTTGCGTCTACTCTAGACTCGGTAACGCATCGTTAAAATCCAATTGTATGCATAACAATAATGAATAATAGACCCCACAAGTTTCCTACAACACAAGCAATATAAACAGCAGTGTTTCATAATTTTTGAAGTTATTAATGTCTATTTCCAAAATTTCCAAAAAAATCACTAAATCCTGATACTTTCAAGAGAAAATCATCCCTAGCCCATTATAAATTCATATGCCACATAATTTACATCCCTCATCTTTACTTGCTACAAAAAAAACCTTGTATTGTGATCTAGCAGTGAAATTTCATACTTCATGATAGTCGTCTCTGAAAAACATCAACCAATTTACGAAAGAAGAACTAAGCTCTGATACCACTTGTTGGACCTGGAGGGATTGTAATGAAAGAGATTAATGACACAATATGTAGTAATAAAGATCACAATAAGAAACAAGATTAAAAGTAAAAACGAATAAAGAGAGTTAATCGCAAAAAAACAATGTATATTAACTGATAATATGGAGAGAAATTACAGACGCGGCAATAATGTTTAAATAAAATTGACAGAGGAATCTTGTATTTATAGGTCACGTTTCAAACTTTAGAAGAGTCCTAAAAAGTAAGAAAACCTGTTAAAATTAGATTACAATTGCGCATAAAACTTCTACTGAGAGAGAATTTTCTTTCCTTATTCAACTTGGATACAATTTTCCTTTCCAAAAAAAAAAAAATCAAATACGCAATTTCACAAAACTCCTAACAATATTTGAGTCACAAAACCTAACAGTATGATGTCAGTCAAATATGCAATTTTTTAAATTATTTTTCGCAATCCCAATCTTGTTTAGTTTTAGTGGTCCTATCTACTACTTGGTATATAATGATTTCACATCCATATTGGCAGAGAGGCATTAAAATTGCACTTAATGATAAGTGGTCATATAGAAATTTGGCACGGAAGTTCAAAACCGTGGTTTAATTAATTTCCCTATTTCTTAAGTCACTTCCATGCATTCCCAATTTCCTACATGTATATAGAGGATTTGCAACCTCAAAATGTCTAAAAGTCAAATGATGAAACCCAAAAAAATATATAATAATAATAATAATAATAATAATAATAATAATAATAATAATAATAAAATAAACAAAAACTGTCTTTTGAGCCCAGTAGTCCCTTTGTAAATATTAGACATGAACGGTCAACTTTATATATATGTATATACACACACCACATCCAGCTTTGTATCCTTGATCGAATGTGTACCATACATTACTTTACTAGATAGAATAAGATGTTCGATGAACAGATATACATGTATATAGTCAAGAATTCACTCGGAACTCGACAAAATATACCTAATAATTAGAGAAATTTGGGCAATGTACAAGATGTATACACTAATGTCATCATTTGAGGTCCCCCACAAAATTAAAAACCACCAACCCTAATTCTAATCTCCATTCAAAAATGGGGGGTCAGTCTTATACGTACTACTTTTTAATTTAATTTTTTTTTTTCCACACCTCTTCCCTCAATTGGTGGAGTTTCTTATTGGTACCAACTTTGGTGCCAATGGTACCAAACAAAAAGTTCTCCATTAATCAGTGTTGCTTCTTTCTAGCTAGTCAAACTTATAACATTTAACTAATAAAAATAAGAACAAATCAAAATTAAGCTATAATTACATTAATTAATTAAGGTGGCTCAAAAATGCTTTGCATTTGCTTTCCAACAAATTTCAATCTCTTGTGCAATGTTCTTGGCATCTACTGATGCACCAAGAAGGCCGCGTTTGGTAAACCCTACCGCATATAGACCACATTCTCCTTTCCAGCCATTTGGAAATGATCTTTTTGGTAGCCCATCTCTCTCTGAAAACATCTCTCTTTCCTGTGGAAAATAGGAGCCAAACATGGTCATATTTTAGTTCTTTCAACTTATAAGTATGTTTGGCACGGAAGACCGAAAGCTTTCAATAGTTTCATCACACTATTGAGTCTAGCTTGGTCCAATAACGCATCCCAAATATACACATAGAATGCTATGTATATTCAAGGAATAGGGATATATATACCTTTAGCCAAGATGGTACATTACTTTTGTATCCAGTTGCTAGGATAATTGCATCAAAATTTTCTGATTTTCCATCTACAAATTCCACAGATTGATGTCTTAATCTCTTAATGCTTTGACATACCTGTAAAAATGGCACCCATTTCAGTATTTCAGGAAAATAATTTGATACCCATACATTGTAAAAACAGGAAAGAAAAATACTCCAGGGGACAATATGTTATAGAATATCATATTGAAAATGTTCTTATTAGTTGAACACATTTATGTCATATTTGGTGACGTATATTAGACAATACTCAACCGTACAAAAAAGGAAAAAGAAGTTCAAATTGTCCACTATACTATATGGCACAGTATATTAACAAACATATACTTTATTCTTTCAATAAGAGTGATTTTTAACCTAAGAAGACCAAACTCAAGGGTGGCACAAGTGATAATAAAGGAATCAATTTGAAGTGCATGAATTCAACAGAACAAAAACAAAACATCATATATATATATTTTTTTTGCTTGTAATTGTTTGGACGACTGTGGTGATTTATGTCGCACTGGAAATGTCATTTAACAAAACAATGCAATCCTTGATAAAGGCTAAAATTGTTGGATACAGCAAATTAAACACTGTAAAAGGTGATAGCACAATGAAATAAAAGTGAAGTTATTTTGCAATTTGAGCAAATGGACAAATTATAGTACCTTGATGTCTCCACTTTTGATCTTGGCAAGGGTTCCGACGTCCAAAACCGGTGTTTTCCCTGATAGGTTCTTTAACTCGAGAGGGCCAACTTTAGGCCTGTCGAGGCCAAACTGTCCTGTGTCCCCGAGTATAAGCCAGGACACGACTAATAGGAACTGGTCGACAAGACGCATAGGCAGCCACTTGAGTAACCACATGGACAGCCCGAAAGTTGATCTCCCCAGCATCTCTCGTGGTAGAATGTGCACCTAATAGTATCAACGAATTTCGAAAGCAAATCATATAAAGAGTTATATCTAAAGATGGGATTGACAGAAATAAAGCATAAAAGATGAAATTGATTGGAATAAAAATAAAAATTACATGATCACTAACTTTACCATTTCTAAACTCCACATGAAAAATGGATTACTTTACATTTAAATAATAATAATAATAATAATTTTGATTATGAAATAAAATAAGCTTTCATTGCGCATGCTTGATTATCCCAAGAAAGTGAAACAAATAACTGTAAATAATAAAAACTGTTGGAACTTGAATTCACAAATCAAAACAGTGAGAACATAGACAAGAAAACGAAGATCTTTCTTTCTTTTTCAAGATCTCTTTGGTTAAAAAGCTCGAATTAGGGTTAGCTTACTTTTCAGAAAAAAAAGGTAATTTTTTTTTGCCAAGAAGCAAAGCTCAAACATGAAGGTTATGTACACTTATCATATTCATTAATATACAGAAATATAAAGTTTCTTGATTCAATTTGAAACTCACACAAAGTCTGGACTAAGTAACTTTTTCCTTTAACTAAAAGTGCAAAATCGAAAGCTCCAAAGAATAAAAAATTAGTTGAAATGGTTTTGAAGGTATTCTTACTGCATTTCTGACCACAAGAGAAGGGCTAGCGTTATGATTGCATAGATCCAAACATACTTCCATTCCAGAATTTCCACAGCCAACTACCAATATTTTCTTCCCTTTAAATACATCTCCACTTTTATATCTGCTTGTGTGCAATATAATCCCACCAAATTCTTCCATTCCTTCAATCTGTGGAACCACCTCCGCTGCATTTTCTCCGGTGGCCACGATCAGCCACCGGCAGACGTACTCGGTCTCCTTGTCCTTGAGCCCCGCGGAGCGTACTCGCCAAAACCCAAGATTCTGATCATACTCTGCACACAAAACTGTCTGGTTGAAAACGGGCCTAATGTCAAACTTTTTTGCATATGATTCCAAGTAGTGAATGAACTGCTGTTTAGTAGGGTATGTTGGAAATTCTTGCGGGAATGGCATCGAAGGAAGCTCACAGAATTCCTTAGGTAAATGAAGCCGAAGACGATCATAAGTTTTGAGCTGCCACAAAGATGCTATACAATTAGATCTCTCTAAAAGAAGACTTGGTACACCTTTTTCTTTCAAACAAGCTGCCGCAGCTAGACCGGAAGGCCCGGCCCCCACGATAACCGGCCCATGTACCCATACGCATCGTTGAGACCTCGAAATCTTGTCATTAAGCCGGTTACAGTAGGGATCATGCACCCTTTTGCCCTCTATTTCCCTTGAATAATCCATCGCAGTGTATAAGTAATATAACTAACTACTTATCCAACTGTAACTTTTTTTTTTTTGGTTGAATCTTGAAATCTTTACTACTTCAAAGATTCTGAATATGAAAAAGAGCAAGAATTGAGGATAACCATGTGATCAGAACAACGTCTTGCTGATGCCAATAATAATAAAAACAAAAAAGAACTTGAGAGAAATTTTAGGGATAAATTCATATCTACTAATATATCCAGAAGAGAGATTCAATAAATACGTGGTGAATTCCGAAAGAGGTGGGGTGGATTAGGATAAATTCTTAGCCACTTGTGAGAATGAATAACTATTTTTTTCTTTGAATCTAAATGTGAGAGAGCGAAGACTACGGGACTGATCAATCAGCATTCATTTCTTCAAGAAAAACCTTGAGAGATACACAGAGAGAGAGAGAGAGAGAGAGAGGGATGGCATGGGGTGAGATGGTGGGCTCTGAATGTGATATTTCAATATATATTCCTTTTGTTCTAAGGAGAGGAGTGAATTGAATTCACTGTGAATATCAGAAAAACAGGGTTCAGTGATAAGCAGGAAATAACGCTACCAGGGCACATTTATAGTGTTTGTTGTGTTAGGTTGGGTGGAGGTGAGGCAGCGCGGGGTGGGGCGGGATGGGGTGGGACGAGAGAAGATTAGGAATTTGCTATTTGTACATTGATTTTTGACATTTTGATTAACACTTATATTGTCAGGTGTCAATTAGATGAAAAATCTGTTTGAAATTTAAATTGTGAAATAGGTTAATATCACATGAAAAAGTGTATATCATAGTGTACGCATAACAAAATTCTAACTAGAAATTTTTTTTTGATTAATTTTTAAATCCTATTTTGGGTTGACTTTGACTATATATCAACCAATCACAAATTGAAAGAAATTTTACTCGTTATGAGATTGAGAACTATTTTTTGGACTTAGTTGAGTAATTATATTCTATCAAGATTGATTTCATGTGATTACAAGGTTACATGAATGGGACCCAATTGACAAATTCAACTAGAATAATTTGAAACTCACAAGTTCGATCATGAACTTTTACCTTTTTCGAGTAAGCGTTCGAATTTCTAGATTATATCTCTATAGATGAATTACATTACCAATAACTTAGATTGTATTTTACTTGCCATGAGAAATTCTATAAAGAGTAAATAATTACTTGCTTAATAGTAAACTAAGCTCACAAATAATCATGGTGAAATAGGTTAATCAACTTTTTCTTTTAGTCGAAATACCTTCAAAGTTTAGACAGTATTTTTGAGTCTCTATTTATACGAACTTGAGGTGCAAATGTTAGAAAGACGTGATAACCTTGCTTCAAGACCTACATGAGAGAGAGAAATAAAAGTTTAAAAAACACTAAATTATGAGCATACTACCTCCTTTACAACTTTTGAGAAATTGAATCTACAATGCCTATATTCCTTTACAATTTTTGAGAAATTGAATCTAGAATGCCCATAGTCGACCATTCACCTTATTGGGCTGGATTAATATGTTAATCAAGATGGTACGAGAGTTGGAAAATGTAGCTTGTTTAAGTTTCACTATCACTCATTTCTAAAATTTATACATTCTTTCAACGAAAAATAATTCTAGTATCTAGTCAAGATAACATTTAAAGAAATAAATAAAAATTTATCTAATTTCTAATACTTAAACTTTTACATTAGATGGATGAATATATTATTAGACAAAATATTGAATTCCAATCTCGTCACCTATTTATGAAAATTGTGCTTGGATTATATGTCCCGCATATGTACATGGTTTTAAAATTAATTCAAATAAATCAAGAAAATACCATTTGCAATATACGTAACTAGATCTATCATACACAAAATTGGGTGATTGATCTTTAATTAAATCCTAAAGAATATATATTCTAGCTACATCATAAAATAATCTAAATAAATTAAGATAAGAAGTCAATTAAAAATTTTGTTTATTAGTACTTAATTAGTGAGGTTTTAACATATATAGGTTGTTTAATCTTATTGGTTAAAGTATAAAGGGGTTAGTTATGGTTGGCACTGGATTGGACCATGCGGGTTGGGCTGGCTAGATTGTGATCTTCCACTTAGGACCTAAAAAGGCAGTTTGGTTTAAAAGGTTGGACGACACTAAATTTTTGCTTTTAATGTGAAATTAAATCAAATTTTTTTGTCCAAGTATTCTATCCCAACATTTTAACTTACTATTTTATTAATAACTTAATACAAAATTAATTTACTTTTAAGGAAATTGATAACCATAGTAATAACATAGCCTTGATTTGTAACACATCGTTGCAGGACTTCACTTTTTAGTACCTATAATGTATCTCATCTCACTTTTTAAAAAGACAAAATATTATCGAATGCAAATACTTTGATTCAGTCAATTGGCTTGAAGTTGGATGAAAAATATAAGGGTGCTTTTGGTTTATTCTTTTCAAACTATTTTAAATTTTCAATTTTACAAAACATTGACAATGTTTTTGGTCTGATATTTCTAAAAATGTATTTTCGAAAACAATGTTGAATTTATGACTAAAACGTAAAACGCATTTTTAACATTTTGAGTGTTTTTAGTGAAAATTTTGAAAACGTTCAAAACATGGAAAACAAGTGTTTGAATAAAATTTTATTTTAAATAAAAATATAAAATTCTAACAAATAAAATTTTTAAAAAAATCTAAATTATAAAAAAAACTTAAATTCTAAAATAATAAATTATAAAAAATGAAAATATAAATTTAAAAAAATAAAATTATAAAAATTATAGAAAAATAATAATTAAAAATATTTAAAGCTATTAAATCTAAATTATAAAAAAAAAACTAAAATTATAAAATAAAAAATTATCAAAAAATAAAAAATAAAAATTCTGAAAAAAATAAAATTATAGAAAATTATAGAAAATAATAAATAATAAATAGTTAACGCTATTAATAATTATTTATATAAAAAATTAAAAATATTTTAAATGAATTCAAATAAAAATATTCTCAGTCCACATCATCAATTTTTATTTTTCTTATATTTTGAACTCAATTGATTATTTATTTTTATTTTACTTTTATGCAAGAAAAAAATTCTAAGCTTCCCCAACTTAAAGTGTATATATTTCGATAATATAGTAACGTAAAATTATTTTATTTTTACCGAATAATCAAATTTCATGAAGTAAAATTATAAAATAATTTTTCAAAATTTTAAACCAAGCATGTTTCTACTTTTCTATTTTAAGAAATAGTTTTTCAAAATGGCAAATCAAATACATTTTTGGCAATTTTAAAACTCACCCTCAAAACAAAAAATTGAAAATAAACTTAATACCCAAAACTGCAACACAAACCAGACAAGCTCTAATCTTTTAGGGTTCAACTCTTATATTTTAGCAGTCAAAGGACACTTCAATTATTCAAGCAAGAGTTAATTTTACTGTCAAGAAAATTTATTTCCTATGTTTAGTTTAGTAGGAAATTAATTTTAATAGAAATTTTATCCATTTAGATTAGTTTTCCTAGCGTTTGTATTTGTCTATTAGATTTCCTATTTCTCAATAAAAGCTAGAACTAAGGTTTATGTCTTGTTGGGTTTTATTAAATAATTAATTTACTTGTACATTTGTTGTTGACAATAATGGATAACAACATTGATGTTGTCAAAATCTGATCCATTAATTTTAAAAATAATTTTTGAAATGGATGAACGTGATGTTGATAAGTATGATTGTCAACCAATATTATAATAAATGATTGTACAAATAGTATGACACTTTATTAAAAGCTAGAATTAAGGTAGATTTTCTCCCAGTTTGATCACTGTTCTGCATGAATTAACGATATTCAAATGAACGCAACAAAAAACAAAATTGAAATTTGAAGGTAAATTATAGGATTTACAGCTTTACTAACTTGTTGGGGACTTGAACCCACAACAAGTGATCCTATCTTGTATTGAGTGTCTAAATGACTAAATTCGAGATTGCTCTTTTAACTATGAGCGAGCCGGGCATACTGCAACCATGAAATTGACTTCTATTTAATTTTAAAACTTCTGTCCATTTTGAAAGATCACAAAAGACATACAAAACTTTTCCTTTTGGAAAGACACTTAAACAAAGAAGATGCACATTCTTCAGTAAAGAATAATGTTGTATATCATCGTTGCTAATAAATAACATTATTTTTCATTAATCTTTGGAGAAAAAATGATGATAATTTTGGTACTCTTTTATTTAGTTTATATCTCTTGTTGGGAATGTATTTTGATCAATATATATCGACTCATGGTAGAAACACTTGATAGTAGATCGAAAAACATTGTTTTGACCTTTTTTGCTTAATTAGTGACTATAACTTTTAGCTTCTTCTTTTTTTCTTTTTCTTTTTGTTGAATTTTGATTTTTTTTCTTGACCCTTAGTCATGACTTTTCAATTTTTATGTTATCTTTGTATTTAATGAACATAAATTGTTGACAAGTGAAACATCTGACGAAGAGTAATATAACTTTGATTTTCGTATAGATTACAACCATCAAATTTATGGCTGTTAGATATTGTAGAAGCTATAGGGAGTAGTGCACTGAAAGTTAGATCTATTTCCCTATGTAACAACACACTAAGCCTACGTTAGATGGTATCTCAAATAGAAAGAAAAGTGGGGTTTGATCCGGATTTCTCCCATTTATTATCATAGACCGATTTTCAGAATTTTAACATATATGTCAATTCGAAGTGATACACTAATCTATTAATAAATCGTATCGTGACAATTCTTAAAGTACCATCGTATATCGTCTCAACTAGAAGACGACAAATTTAAGTTATTTGAGTTTGTCGTGACTAATTCTTTAACCTATCAATACTATTTATATTACATGCATCTCGAACATCATACACTATGCTCTGTCATTCTTTCTTATCAAAAATAATATAAACTAAAAATTAACATGAAGACAAATCTGAAAAAAGAAAAAGTTGCATTGAATCCCTACATAAACACTACAAATCACCTTGATAATTATTTTCCTATGTTGCTTTGGACTCTTGTAAACTCCACAGGCTTTTACATAGGGCATTACAAGTGTACTACCATATATAATCGATGTCCAATCCCAATTCTACTGATTTGTTGAATGACAATATTTATACATGTGGATGACACATTATTCCACAAATAATGAAAAGTTTCTTCCAATCATTGGATAATCTTTTCTTCAAATCAATGCAATGAATTTTTAAAAAGTAATACAAATCATTGTTGGAGGATGACACTATTTTCTCCATCTTCCATTTAATTCGACCACCCTATGATGTCTTTAAGAAATGTAGATTTTTCTTTTTAATTTTATCATTATTTATATATATTTATAACCTTATGTTGTTGAACAACACTATTAAAATCCTACAATTCTACAGATGGCAAGAAATCAAACTTTGATTGTACTTTAAAAATGGGAAATGATCTAAAACAATAGAATGTTATGATAGTAGTAATTAAAAGTGCATGCTTATAAGTTT